CGGACGGGAGCGCGAGAGGCTCAAGCTTACCGCGCAAGCGGCCGCCTCACGTGAAAATGGGGCGGGCCACGGCACCCCAAAGAGAGCCCCGAGTGTGAGGAGCGAACGGCCGACAGCGGCAGAGGGAAACATCGCTCCTCCTGGGAGGGGAAACACCTGACAGCCAGGGGTGACACAGCTCTGCCTGTGAGGGGAAATACCTAACAGCGAGGGGTGACACAGCTCCTCCCTGTGGGGGAAAACACCTGACAGCGAGGGGTTGCACAGCTCTCCCTGCAAGGGGAAACATCGCTACTCCTGTGAGGGGAAGCACCTGACAGCCAGGGGTGGCACAGCTCTCCCTGTGAGGGAAAACATTTGTCAGCGAGGGGTGACACAGCTCTGCCTGTGAGGGGAAATACCTGACAACGAATGGTGGCACAGCTCTCCCTGTGAGGGAAAATATCGCTCCTCCTGTGAGGGAAAACACCTGAAAGCCAGAGGTGGCACAGCTCTGCCTGTGAGGAAAAACTGCTCGTCCTGTGAGGGGAGAGCGTCCGACCCCGAGAGCAGGAAAACGCTCCCGCCGTGAGGGACGCGGCCCCACGTCCCTAAGGGGCGGCTCCTCCAGATCCCTCATAAAGGTCATTCCCATCTCTGTTTCAGATCAGAATTATGTTCAGGATCACTATGGAAAGGGCACCAACTCCTCCTCCAGGACTGGTGTTGCCACACACACCTAGAGTTGCCAGCACCCATGGCACAGGTGAGCAGCATTAGTCTTTCCTAGGAAATCATTGAAAACAAAGCATGAGAAAAAACGCTCAAATTTGCCTTGGGCTCCCCTCCCTGAATGAGGCTGAGTAATCAATTTACATCTCCAATCTCTACATGACTTAATCTTCACCTGGAGTTTGAACAGCCCATTAAAAACCACACTTTGCCTTCACATTGCCACATTATTCCCATATCAGAGGAACACATTGATTTCCAACATGAAATAAAAGGAGCAGCAACTGAAAACAACTTATTTCTTCTGGATCTGTGTTTTTAAATGAAAAAGTAGGACAACAAATAGTAAACAAACCCTAGTTTCTTACGTGGTCAGTTTCATATTCCAAGTTAAATAAAAATGTGGCACCAGCGCTGAAATTTACAAAGCATGGAGAGATCTGGATATTAACAAACTCTTTCAAAAATTAAATGCAAACTTGATACAGTTTGACCAGCCCATTTCTCCCCCACTGTGCTGGGGCAAATGCCAGACTCCTCAGCCGGAGCAGCAGACCCCAGAGAAAGAAAGCTCATTCCATGCAAGCTTTCACCCAGCTTTCAGTGCTATCCAGTAGTGCTTATGTTCTCATTAGAGCACCTTTCCAAAACTGTCATTGTGACATTTCTTTTGTCTATATGCTACAAATAAAAAAAAAAGTAAACAATTGATTATTTAGTAGGCTGAGTCTCCAGCAACACACCACAAAGGTTTTTCTCTGGTGTGTTCTACATCTGCTTGAAGTTTAACTTTC